TTTTTTATATATATATATATATATATATATATATATATATATATATATATATATATATAATGTATAAAGGTAGAACCGATATAAAAAAATAATATTTATGTTAATAATAAATGCATATATTACTTCCGAACTTTTAATACTACTGTTTCCTGGTCTAATTCAACTCTGACCATTAACTTTTTTTATATATATATATATATATATATATATATATATATATATATATATATATATATATATATATATATATATATATATATATATATATATAAAGGTAGAACTGGTATAAAAATAATATTTATGTTAATAAAAAATGCATATATTTCTTCTGCACTGTTCCGTACAACTCTGTACAAGTAGGGAACAAATGTATAAATGTATATTTATTAGTTGTATAAATATTTATTATTCTCCTCTCTCTCTCTCTCTCTCTCTCTCTCTCTCTCTCTCTCTCTCTCTCAAGCATGAAGCAGACTGTCACCACACGGTGTTATCCTCAGTATCCACTTTTATATTTAAATACTTTCTATCTCTGATATTGAGGATAATATTTATCCATAATAATGCCTGAAAACTATATTTTATCATATATATATATATATATATATATATAATAAATGCAATTTGGAGTTTTTCTGTAGTTTATTGTTGCCTTTCGTATCTACCCAAGATCCCACCGTAGGTGCTTGCTTAAATGCCGCCCGATAGCCAACTTGTAATCTAGGATATATCTATATATATCTATATAAATCTACATATCTATATCTATATTAAGTTCCTCCATTAGATCACGTAAAAAATGCAGCATATCACGATGAAAAAAAGTTCCATAAATCAACGGAAACAAAGTTTTGTCTCAATATGTTTATGTTGTTATGAAGAGGAAAGACCAAAGTATTTTTTGATTATTTTTTGAAATTTTTTACTCTTTCCTAGCACGTAGAAAATTTTGGTTAAAAAATGTCTTTTTTTACGACAGCGCGATAAAATAAAAAAAAAGGTTTGTTTTATTTTGCGCTTTTCCGGGGAAAACACACGTTAATTTAGGAAATTCTTGCAAAAATCAAATAATTGTCGGATTTTAATGAAACTTTCAGGACATGTTTCCACCCACTTACATATTTTCATAAAATTTCGAGAAATTAAATCTTCACGCGCGGGATTTGTTTTATTAGTTATAAACAGGACTCTTTGTAGAAAGTAAATCACCAATTTTTTTAAAAAAAACAGAACCCGGTTTCATAGAAAATCTGCTTTGAATTATAAAAAAAATGTAAAAAAGTATGACATTAATTAATTAGAAAAGCTTTCGCCTGTTTTTGTAAATACGTTATACTAAGGACATTTTGCGAAGAAATAAAAAAATTTTCGATGAATAATGTATTTTTTACAAATTTTTTTCCCATTTTTAAAATTTTTTTCATTAACTTAATACTTCAAAAATCGTTTAAAATTCTTTATTGCTTTCAAGCACGTAATGCAATGATAACGTTAATGAAAAAGTAAATTTACGAATCGAAATTTGAAAAGCACATAACAGTCGTTTGACCCCAGATATTTTTAAAATAATTTTAAAAAAATTTATTGAAAAAACGTTCATAATTTCTCCGTATGGAAATGTATACATGACATAATCCTTAAAAAATTTTAAACAATTATTTAATTAATAAAAAAGTTTAAACTATTATCTAATTAAGAAAGTATGAAATAAAAAATAGATATTATATAATTGCTGAATAAAAATTTTAATATTTAAAAAGTACTAGTTAAAAACGAAAAACCGCGTTCGCTTTGCAAAAATTGTCAATTTTGATCATCCATAGTAATCTGTCATCAACTCGTCACAATCGATTTCTTTGATAAATTCAGACACATCGTTAAGAAATGTTTGGATACAAATTTTTATGCTATAAGTCTATAAGTCCAATCTATATAATTTCTGTCTGAAAGACACCAGAATATGTTACTTACTGTAAATAATAAATTTAATGCTTTAGCTTTCAATTAATATATTGAGACAAAATTAACATATTGAGACAACACTTTGTTTTTTGTTGATTTATGAGCCATTTTTAATCGTGAGATGCTGCTTTTTTACGTGACCTAATGGAGGAATTTAATATTTCTCTCTCTCTCTCTCTCTCTCTCTATATATATATATATATATATATATATATATATATATATATATATATATATATTATATATAAAACTAGGTAATCCGGTATGGGTAGACCCAAGGAGGATGATATCCGGAGAGCTCAATGTAAAATTCAGAGCCTATATGTTTGAATAAAATAGACCACTTTAAGGTTCCATGTAACATGGAACCTTAAAGTGGTCTGTTCCATGTTACATGGAACTTTAAAGTGGTCTGTTTTATTCAAATATATATATATATATATATATATATATATATATATATATATATATATATATATATGTATGTATGTATGTATGTATGTATAAGCAGCAAAAGGTCTAGTTTCTGTAAAGTCTCAAAGGAAATTTGTGTTCGTTCAATTAATATATCTGCATATGCCTTCTCATATATAAAATAGACGCCATTAAAAATTTCCTTATGTCATGTCACGAGAATTCATCTTATCGCCCGCTTTTCTTTAAAGAGCTTAATATCGGGAAACAAACGCCTGCTGATAACGGGTTTCCAAACCACCTTACAGTTTACCATGTTCGACTTTTTCTTTCTAAGGTAACCAATAGCCACACAAAAATACACAGGAAAAACAATAATATTAACATTTTCTAAAAAAAAAAAAATCAAGTGCATATTAACCGTATGCAAGATGAATCTTCACTTAGGAACATCATAAAGAAATACACAACTCCAGTTAATACAAACAAGAAAATTAAATTATTTATTACAAAAATTTAGAATAATCCAGAGAACCAAAATTATTTACGAATTTACATGACGCTTAACCCTTTGAACCCTGACAACCACTCTTCCGGTGGTAGAGAAAAATGGTTTAATGCCCAGACACCGGCTGAATAGTGGTAGAGACAAATGACGTAGTGCCCAGCTACAGGTTGATCGGTGGGTAAACTCTTATAAGTATTTTTATATCTACCAACATTGCAGACCAGTTATTTGCGAATTTTGACTCAGGAGTTCAGGCAGAAGAGTTAAAATTGTTCAGAAACACAGAGCTCAAAGGGTTAAGGGACTATGTTCTTAAGCAATCCAAATTCGTAAATAATTATATTTGATATGCTACAACATGTTTAACAAGAAAACTCACGTTATATCTCTCACCAGGACTCAATTAAGACTCGTTTAAATACACATGGAAACCTACCAAACATTATCCACAACATACTCGTTGATAATACAAATACAATAGCATCATTCACATGTACAAAATGCTAAAAATAATGGAAGCATTATTAATAAAAAAAGAAAAAGCCAAAACTCAATCATATCAACTATGAACATGGTCACAACGTGTTGTCCATGTTTGGAAAATAAAACATTCCTATAACTCTAGTTACATACATAAAACAATGCATAAATTCAGTTAAAAATCAAATAAACATCGTCCTTAATAATGGCTAAAAGTAAAACTGAAAGTGCTTGGAAAACATTTGGTCGATTTTTATATAATTTATGTCCTTAAAAGAAAAACATTATACAAACACTTCAGAAAAATATTTTAAAAATTCAGTCACCACAAATTGTCAGTCATTGCCAACGAAACTTGCATATATATATATATATATATATATATATATATATATATATATATATATATATTTGTGTGTGTGTGTGTGAAATTGGTATGTATATAAATATAAATATATATATATGCAATTTATTATATATATTATTTATATATTATTTATGCGCAGTACTTATTAGAAAGCGCTCAATATCAGTGATAGAGCTAACATATTTAGTTGGAGTTTATCTGACGATCACAAAAGCGTAAAACTCAGGGTCACAAACTTACCTCAATCCAATTACATATATATATATATATATATATATATATATATATATATATATATATATATATATATATATATGAAATGGATTAAGTCCGAAAATTATTTAATATATTTTCTGTTTATACGTTACAGAGAAGCGGTTGGTTAGCAAAGTTACTGTTTATAAACAACAAATTTTCAAAGATCTTTCCCGAACGATTATATCTGTCCACGAAAATGTACCTTAACGTAAACATTGACAACATACACGAAATTTCTCGTACATTCAGGCCGGTGAATTTAATTAATATTGTTTATATAAAAAACGGAGCATTTAGTTAAATAATTCATCTAAAATTAAAATAGCGTATAAACAATATATATATATATATATATATATATATATATATATATATATATATATATATATATATATATATATATTCTCTACTCTGAATAGTAATTCTTGGTTATTGGGATTTATACTTTATTCTACATTCAACATCATCACTTGATAAAACACCAGAGGTGTTGAAACAAAATGGCTATTTTTGTAGTGATTTTTTAACATATTGTTATACGGGAACATACCTATTCTATTGTTAATAGACTCTCCCACATATAATAAGTAGTAGTAGTAGCAGTCGCCGGGAGCTCAGTGAGTTGCTGAGTGAGTCGATGTTGGACATTAAAGTATCAACCACCACAACTAGATTGCTGCGTCATTAACTATTATTTCAAGTTCCTAACGTTTTGTACGTCTAACCGTTTTTAGGACCGACTTAGTGAAACACAAGCCTTCACTGTGAAAACTACTCTACAACACATATTTATGTTATAATTTTTAAATAAATAATTATATATATATATATATATATATATATATATATATATATATATATATATATATGGTAAAGGTCATTAAATCGTAATATGATTCGGATATTAATGTCTCTTTTACTGTCTTACTATCAGGCTTTTCGAACAATATATGGCACACACAATTTCCAATCAAGTCCGTCCAATGATGCAATTTATGAATGATTATAGACAATCGTGAGTCATTATTGGATAGATAGATAGATAGATAGATAGATAGATAGATAGATAGATAGATAGATAGATCGATAGATATAATAAAAATGTCATTCAATCACATTGATTGAATTGTTAGCCAACTTTACAAATCCTAAAGAAAGAAGTTAAAATAAGCAGACAGCATGAAGCTTATTGGCTGAGTGATTCAAAAGGTTGCTAAATGTTAGAGACACAGGTCTTTCTGTTAGCCATTAAAATCTCAGCGCGAAATATTCCAATAATACCTCAGAAATAGATCGATAGAAAGCAACAGCCTGCAAAATAAAGAAAAAAAGATAGAAACTGCGATAGATAGATAGATAGATAGATAGATAGATAGATAGATAGATAGGGACAGCTTGAGAAATAAACAAAAAAAGAAAGAAACTGCAATAGACACGTAGATAGAGAGAGATAATGACTAGAGATAGATAGATAGATAGATAGATAGATAGATAGATAGATAGATAGATAGATAGATAGATAATGACTATACATAGATAGGTAGATAGATAGATAGATAGATAGATAGATAGATAGATAATGACTATACAGGGATAGATAGATAGATAGATAGATAGATAGATAGATAGATAGATAGATAGATAATGACTATACAGGGATAGATAGATAGATATCATACGTGTGAGTGAGTGTACAGAATTAACGCTATTATATTTGATTATATAAGTGTGTCGTTCTTAAAAGTATTTTTTTCTTTTGAGATTTTTATAAAGATCAAAATAAATATGTTCTAGCAACGGAAGTAATAAGAAAATAGCATAGATGAAAATGTGGAATGCGATTTCTCCATTTCTAAGGGTTATAACTGCGACATTGATATCTGTAGTGTTTGATTTTTTTCTTATCAATCGATATCTCAATCGATATCTCATCTTCAATCAAATTAAAAGCCAAAGAACTGATTTTTATGAACCATTCAAAAAATTATATATATATATATATATATATTAAAAAAATTATAAAAAATAATAAATTTATATATAAAAATATGAAATGGCGAAAAATTTACCCATCGCACCCTATATATATATATATATATATATATATATATATATATATATATATATATATATATATATAGGTGCGCACCCTATATATATATATATATATATATATATATAGGTGTGATGGGTAAATTTTCGGGGCTGCAGAATATGTGCATTTGTATGCAGGTCACTAGTGGGACTAATGTGTCACATACGATAAAATGATAAAATCTGAATAAGCTTGACATATATATATATATATAGAGAGAGAGAGAGAGAGAGAGAAAGATTTTCCAAGCGTAGCTTAGATGTGGCACAACGCCGAATATGTGGGGCACCCGGTGATGATCGAACTCACTACTCAGTCGTAACTGTTGTAGGAAGACAAGCTTGCTAACCATTAAACCGCCTAGAGATGATATATAAGAGAAAGAAACATGGTTAGAACTGTGTAGCGGAAAAAACATTTTAAATCAATTAATTTATAATATATATATATATATATATATATTAAATACCGAAATAAAATAAATAAATACCAAAATCAGACGTCCCTATCGAAATATTTCTGGCTCTTAAAAGAAACCAATAAAACACCTACAGTAAAATGGAAATCAATAAGAAAAGATGTCCTTTGTACATACATGAGAAACTATATATTACTATGTTTATGAAAAATAAGAATTTACTTAATCAAAGAAATGAAATAGCTATTCTTTGCCGACATTTTCATAAAATTTCCTCAAATAATATTTAAATATAATTAAAAAAATATGGGAGCTGGTAATATGCATACTTATATTTGATATGTAATAATAATTTTTAAATAATTTAAGTAATTATATTACATTTATTGGCTTTAAAAAGAAATATAGTTTATTAGTAATTAAAAGTAAAAATAATATTTTAAAATTGTAGTTCAATATAACGTATTCTGACGCAACAACACTTTTAGAAAGAATCTTCATCTATACAAGTACGAAATTAACAGAAAAAAATGATTAAAAACTTTTTTTCGTTGATAAAAAAAAAAACAGACGACATGCGTTGAACGGATGTCAAAATTTGTTGAAAAATGCACCCCTATCCAAACTAAACTTAGCCTCGTTTTCGAACGTAACTCATAATTGATACAATAATAGTTAATAAAAATGAGCACGCTACCGCCCCTATCTAAATGATTGGATTTCTCTGTATCCTTGGAAACAAAAAATTACGAATTGTATGTGCGTTTAAAATTCAGTAAATTTGTAAGTTATTCCAAAATTCGCTTGCGGATGAAATAGAACTAATGCTTTTAATTTAATTATATAATTAAATTTGAAGTTTTTAGCTTCGGTTGTTAATAGTTACTTTGTTTTAATAAATTAATTTCGTTTTTGGCTTGAAAAACTCCACATTGGACGAAACGCGTCTGCTAATAATACAGTTTTCCCATTGTCTTCTACCTTATATATATATATAAATATTAAAGACATTTTTATGTTTAACGTTCTTTTTTATAGATACAAGTATTTAAGTAAATGCTCTGTTTATAATAAACAGTATTAAATAACATTAGG